TATGTTGTAAATTGTAGCTATAACTTTTATTTGGTTTCTCTTAGGTTATATGCTAGCGAGTGTTGACTGTCGCATGCAGGTTTGATCTTGTCTCTAAGTGCGGATCTAATGTTGATTAGGCTTATTTAGGCACATACAGAATTACAGACACCGTTAAATTATCGAATGTGTGCCCCCATCCCGAATTAAGGGCACCTTCCCTCCCGTAACGAGTGAACCGCCCTTCCGATTTAAAAAATAAAGCCAGTCCCCGAAATTGTCACATAGGGGACAGTAGATGTCAAGCGCTGCAAACTAATGCGTGGAGTTAGACCGCCAGTTGCTTTGTGATTGATTCATATTTTCGATTTTATCGTACCGTGGATACTTCGTGGATATCGTACCGTGAAGTATTGATAACTGCCAGCGCCTGCGAAATATTTAACCAAAGACCAATAGCACACATAACATGCCCGCACCTTTCCCATTCATACTTCATGGACTTATCTTTCCATGAATTCTAAAATTCGTGAACCGTTGGCATTTGGCAGTTTGGCTGCGAGGCACTGTTCCAAAATAATCAGCGCTGTCCAATCATTTCGCGGCTAGTCTTACCTGTTGTTCTGTTGCCTACTTCCGTAGACAACAGTGCCACAAAAACTCTCACCACACTCACTACCACACAACAGGAATACCAACACAGTAACTTTCGCCTAGGTACACACTAGTGCTTTCCCTAAACGAAGGTCACTCACAACACAAACACCAACAGGACCACAATGATGTTACTCACTTTAATCTTATTGATGTTCACTCAAATCAAGTCACATCGTAACTCAACTCTCTCACAATTGGCCAACTGGCCGTTGCTAGCCGACGACGAAGCGCAGCTTCCGATCGGAGACTACCGAAAAAAACAGGATATACTACGTCATCGCTAGTACAACAGGGAACACTCGTACTTTCGCATAATAACTCGTACAACATAGTACCAATTAATATGTCAATACCGTGCACAGGTAGTTCACCGTAGTTGTCATCTAATAACAATTATTGTGCACAGGTTCAGCCCATTCGAGCTCGACGGCCGACCACAAATGTGGATCAAGGTCGACTTGCGATTGGTGGATATCAGGACACTAAGCAGAATGGCCGTCTACGGAATCGACGCAGCATTTCGAGAATAGAAGATCTGAATAATCGCAAGCTCTCGCTTCTTGACGGGATAGACATCACGGCCCATCGCTGGCCTTAGTGCTGGATGAAGCAAACTCATTTGGGTGTTTTGAGAACAGTCAATTCATTAGCACAGGAAACAGCCATAGTTGGCTGTTTAGTATAACCGACAAATGCATTGCTTTAATATTATCTCAGCCGCTATGTTCATCTCTTAATGATCTGGATTTACAGTACCTGCTACAGTAAAACCCCTCGTTACATACACCCTTATACAACATTCACCACTTTATTACATACGTGCGGCTGGGAACCGAACTGTTCGGTGGATTATAATATAGGGGCGGTTCTCTATATAACATTCACCCCTCTATAAGTATAACATACACCTTTCGTGGAACCGCCTACAGTATTTAACATACAGTCAACCCCTGCGTTACATACAGCTGGCTGAATAAGCGCAGAAATTTTTCAAAGAAAGTTCCGGTTTCTTTTTCAGATCTGTCCAGTACCAGATCTGACAGTAAAAGCAGCAAAAAGGCGTTGAAAATTAATGGTTACCGGTTTATTCTGTAGAATAAACTGCCAGTAACACAGCAGCTTTTCGAAAAGGCATGCTCAACAAAAGCGCTGCAGAGCCATTTTTGGAGGATTAACATAAATTTGTAAGCAAAACATTAGCGGCACCGTGTTTAGTTGCTATTGACCAATATATGGCCAGCCCCCTGGGGGTGAGTCATTGACCACCCCCAGGGGCAGTGCCCCTGTGTAACATACACCTCTTTACAACATTCAGAGAGCTGGGAACGGAGGGTGTATGTAGTAGAGGGATTTTACTGTACCTTGACAGTGTTGTGTTACCGCCAAACTTGGATGCTATTGCTAAGGACATGGTAGTCGTTTTCTGCCGGGTAGTGAAAACACTACCACCGTCGACATAAGCCCTTCATCGCTTACGTATCTGTAAATGAATCTGTTGAGTTTCTACTTTCTACAGTAATTCTTGTGTGGTCTGGGTGTGACGCGTTATTCCTTCCCGTTTTTGGTTTGATGGTTTTCTGTTCGGTGAGCTTCTGTCTTCGTAGCTGCTTCAGTTGTCTGTTTAAAATCATAATGAAGCTGGTTGTGTGGGTTCGAAACCTGTTGTGTGGGCAAATAAACCCTGTATTTCAGTGCATTTGCCGATCATGGTACTGTCGCATACATTCGTCCACATAGACTTTTCAGCTTCCGAGTTTGAGATTATGAGTTTGTATAAGTAACGTTTATCGTCAGTAGACACCGTTGCGCATGTTCACCAGCTACAATCGGAATGTTGCTCTAGTGCGTTAGCCCTGGCAGAAAGGTTGATGACCTTCATGTAACATCAACCTTCCTGCCGGCTACAGCTGCGGATATAATCAGACGAGCCATTTACCGACGAATGAATAATAAATCGTGAAGGCTCCCGGACACCACCTTTCACCATGAACGGTCGCCTTGCGCCACGCTTCACCACCCCAAGGCTGCCGACACCAATATCTGATTAATTTTTTATTTCAAAGCCTACGCTATACAACACTGAAATATCATCGCTCCCCCACCACGGGAAATGCACACAAGGTTCATTGCTGGGTTCCAGAGACCACCATTTGCAAATTTCTCAGTTTAATGTTGTTATAGGCGAGAAATTAAAACTATATGACCGTATCCTTGAGGTCTGGCCCAGCTTGTTACGTGCCACTCGCCCGTTTCCGTTTCTGTTATTATGAGCAGATCCTTTTACAGAGTGTGTTCACTCAAGAACACATTAAGCAGCAGAACGAATGCGACTAATTAATTTGATCTGCACACCGAATAAATTTGGTATGCACACCACACCAGTGCATTTGCGGTGACCAAGCGGATGAGCATGGATATCATGGTTCAAGTTGCAAGTTCAGTGCCGGACGGAAACCGACCCACGAAAGCCTCAAAGCGGTAATAAAGCGCGCCTTTGCATCGGCCGGAATCGAAACCGAGCTGGAACCTCCCGGAATCTCCCGTACAGATGGCAAACGACCAGACGGAGTGACAATTACCCCGTGGGAAAGAGGAAAGGCGCTGGCCTGGGATGTAACCTGCCGCAGCACCATGGCATTGTCATACATCGCAGCCACATCCACTCGAGCCGGAACGGCAGCAGCGCTAGCCGAGCGGAGCAAGACCGAGAAATACCGCAACATCACCCAGGATTACTGGTTCAAGCCCCTGGCTTTTGAGACCTACGGAACATTCGGACCAGAAACCACCCAGCTACTGAACGTGCTAGGAAAGATGATCCAGCAGCAGTCAGGCGAACCGCGAGCACTAGAGTTTCTGCGTCAACGGATCAGCATCGAAATACATCGGGGAAACACAGCATCTATAATGGGAACAGCACCACCGGCGGCGAATTTAGACGAAATATTCTCTATCATTCGCCCGCCTGTGTTTGTAGATGTTGTGTAACTCGCTTGTGTTTGAGTTTCTCACGATTTACGTAAAAAGTGCGAAACTTTTGTTGCTACTGACGCGAATAAAAAGACATACAGGAAAAATTTGATCGCACTCGTTCGGCTGCTTTACCAGGGCGGTGGCTAAGAAATTCGCTTGACCTCAAAGGATGCTGTCACCCATTACGTTATCGTTTTGCCGCAAAAGAGCTTTCTCCCGGGATCATTTCCGTTAAGCAGATCGTATTTGCGAATGCTGAGGCAAAGGCGTCAGCTAATTACTTATAACAGTATATGCTGTACAGAAGTACAGTACATTCACAAATCACAAGTGCATAAGTTCTGTAGAATACAGTATTGCATTGAAGTTTTAAAACAGCAGGCTCTCGTTGGGTTTCTTCAAATGCCCCCGGATGATTAATTTCCCTCATCCGTGTAAGATGGGTGGCTACGGGACCTACTCTGAAGCATTTCTTCGGAAATACTTCGGAGGCTGTCGTGGCAGCTGTCCCGTAGTTATCAGGGACACACTTGCTGCCTCGTATATCGATCGCACCTCACAAGTCAATGAATGCCGGGGCCGCAGCTGAACACTGTATCCAGATACAACGGGGGAATGCGATTTGCGTAAGGGTACATTCCCGATCAGGATAGCATTGAGGAAGTGTTTCTGTTATCAGTGTTTCTAGTGCTAAGTTTGTACTTGTGACATGATACTTATTAAAGGTGCAAGGTATTCACAAGTCAGTTCACTGAATGTGCATGTATACAGTATCAGTATGTACCCTGTAATCTCTCAAACTTACAATAGGTAGAGCACACTCAGCGCAGAACTGTTACTTATAACTGTGCAACCATAAAGTGGTGTCCTGAGACTAACGGTATTCTGTTATAATCTGTGGTGTCTCAAAAATGGTGGTCCGAGACAAAACGTGGTGTAAAAGTGGTGTCGGGAGCTTAAAGGGTGATAAAATTGTAAAAGGCTTCTATTCTATTTCTCCATAATAAATTGAATAAGCAGCCACACCGGATTTGTATTGTATAAGCGATATAGTGTCACGAAGAGCGTCATCGAACATGATTCCCATCCTCATGAAAGCTGGCGTAGCCCATCATGAACCTGTTGCATACTGACCGGAAATCACAAATTTTTTTTATTATAAATTCAGTCCTAAATCATTTTATGATGAATTCATTTACGAAAACTAACTACTGTTAGTACTGTAAACATCTACCAAAGCCAGGTGGATTCGAATAAATCAAATGGCCTCGGCGTTCTGTACAACGGAATTTGTGTCGCACCGGCCACCGCCTTACCTACACCGTACGTATTAGATATCAGTGCCCAAGCGGTGGAATTTCCACGTACCCTTCAAATTTTAGACTACTGCATATTTATCGGTGTGAAAATATTCTCAAAATGATATAAGTTTGCTGGGATTGTTATCACTTTCAATCAGCTGCAAGTTACAGTAAGTTAAAGTGTTAAACTATTAAAGTACGTAGAAAATGCTCGCGAACGCAGAGAACCTTCGTAAAACTTTCAGCTTTCCAGAGAAACACGGAAAATTTTTAAACTTTCTCCCTGACTTTATTCTACAGGCAAGAAACGAAGAGTAAACAACGGAGAATAACAGTCATTTGAAACTTTTTTACGCAAACCGTTACGTACCCTCCTGTTTTACAGTTTACAGTTTGAGCGCTGCCTAAAGCTCCATGACTTTTTAAAAATATTCTGCGGTCGTTTTATTTGTTATTTGGCTTCTGTCTGAATCGTTCGAATGTTTTAGGAAATTTTTTTCTTTAACTTCATTAAATTTTAGGAATCGCCGTACTACTGATTATTTAGTACTAAACCATATAATATTTCTCTAATATTCAATTATTCCTACTTCCTAGATCATATTTCATAAATAACAGAACCGAATACCAATACTGTACATGAACGGGTAATTCAGAATCTGACGAAAAGACTAAAATTAAATTGCTAAAATTTGATAATTAGTCATTTGTTTTTACCTTCTTATGGTTTGGTTTTGATTATTCGACTACCGATATCCTGTTCAGAAACTGTATAGAAATTCACAAATTAAGAGTTAAAACGAATTAAGTTTCCTCAAGTGTTAAAGTGAATTAAGTTTTAAATTTAGTGCACGTTTCCATTTAGCCAAGCTGAATGGGTGAATCTCTTAATTAAATACGACAACGAACTGGCCCGGCTCAAAATTAAATTGTCGCTTATATTATATCATATAAATATTATATCATATTTAAAAGGTCGCTAAGATAATGCACCAGTTTATTCTGTTATCTCTTGACTAAAGCAAATTTTGGTTCTCTGGTGCTCTAAGTGCTTTACATCCCAATTCCCAAGTGATCCCAGTATACAGTACAGCAGCACAAGTTGTCCTACCTGAATTTATGATTTTATCACGCGTAAAGCTGCAGCAAGTGCGTAATGAGCGCTATGTTAGCAACTGCACTACAATATTCGTAGTGACGAATATATTGAGGCTAAAATATATTTTTACGGTTTTTTATTTTGATAATCATATATTTTACCAATCACCTCCAGGCTCGAATATTTACTTATTTTCATATCAGTATTTGGCGTCCACCAGCCATTTGTCCCCATTAATTACGCATTTTTGCTTTAAGGCATATCGGTATGGAGTGCGCGCCCCTGGTGCTGCCGCAGTTTCAGCCGCTCTTGGCGGACGCCAACCAGATGAATTACCAGAATACTGTGGCTGTCCACAATGATGATGACAGCTGGTGGCTGGGATATATTCAAGACATGGACGGCGACCAGGCCTTCATCCACTTTGACGCCAAAAAGGTCGCTGACCGCTGGGTGCACCAGGAACGCGTCTGGCCGCTACTATCTCGCAATGACTACAGATGGCAACCGTATTCGGCCTATATGCGAGTCCATGCGGCACTTCGTGACGAAGATGACGGACCGTTTCGGTATCGACCAGTCAGGATAATAAACAAACTCCTGGGATGTGAGATATGTGAAATGTACTACATCCAAACCGATACTGCCGCCACCAACGGTCAGCCAGACAACGCTCCCTGCGAAGTGGTTCAGAACTGCCAGATTATCAAACAGCTGCCGCCGGCTGGTTTCCCTGTAATTCAAGAATCCAGTAGCGGTCTGCTTTCCACCAAGTACTTCGCGCCGTTTTCCCGAGCCCAAACGATTTTCAATGACACCTCTGATAAATTTCGCATCATCATGCATTTTCGCCAAGCATTTCAAAGTCGTTTGAGATTTTCTGGCGTGTCAAAATGCTGTGACGCTCACGCCTCCGGTCAGTTTCGAATTGGCCAGCAGTTTCGCCAAGCACTGGAAAGTAATTCATACAACCACTTCTCGGACGGCTTTCGCTTTCACCTGCCAATCGAACAAGCTGGATGTGCATTTCTTCTGATGCATCTCGCTATGGACGCGGAGATGGCACAGCTTGTTACTGCAACATTGACAGAAGTGCTGGAAACACATCTGTTCAGTCGAGGGCTTTTCCCATCAATTAGAACCCGAAATCTACACGTGATGGAACTTGGTCTGCATACTATAGGTATTGTACCCGTCAGTATTCAAGGAACTTTGCAGTGTACCGCAATTTGGAGCGGGCAAACATTCACAGCTGGTAACGACAAACAACGATTTTCAGTGTTGTTGTATTTCGAGTTGTGTAATAGACAACGTGACCGCGCTCAATTTCCTTGTCTTAGACAGTAGCACTAGATATTTGGCAACATAATAAGCACTTAATTCTTAGAAGGCTGCTGAACAAAATGACCTCCATGGTTTGCTAAGGCGAGTAGGTCTATTCAGTACTTAATTGCATGCTATCAGTTTTATTTGAAAGAACAACGGTTTGAAAACGTTTGATTTTTTCTGACTTATTTTTAAAAATGGGTGGTTTTGAAGGACATCTTGCAGACTAAAATTCGAACATTTTCATTTCTATGCTAAACTGTAGGCACAGACACTCAACTAAGTACAGTACCTTATGATGCATATAACGTTACTATTTCGGATAGAGAAATTATTTGTGCATTTTCTGTTTCTGTGAACAAGTGCGGCATTCTACGGACCGTGTCTTACCCACTAACTGGTAAGACCAAGAATCTATATTAAACTTAACCATTTAAGTAACTGTGCAATAAATTTAAGTACTGGAGTACACCCCTCATACATCAATAAACCTTCTAAGCAACTGGAACTGCTATAATTCTAAAGTTACCTTTTCAAGTTTTACCGGAGCCAGTTCTGCCGGAACTGGCATCGGTGGGACGGGGTAAAAAAATTTTCCTAATAAATAAAATGCATGGGACACAGTTTCTGAATATGTTGAATCTGATGCCGTTTAGCCGTTTGCAGTTTTTCTCATTATTATTCAGTATGTTTTTTTCCGATCTCGATATCTCGGATTGTACTATATATCTGTTTTGTAGTAGTTGTAGTTGTTTGTAGTTGTACTATATATCTTTGTAGTTGTACTATATATCTTGTTCCTAACTTCCTTGATAGACTGCAACATATCATGCGCACTAGCATGGTCCTCTGTTTTCCTTCGTGCTGCGGTGTCCGCGTTTATAAAACTGGCGGCGCATGTGCACTAGCACTTTGCAGTTCCTGTACATAGCTGAAGCAGCTGTTTTCTCTATGGAATTTGAATACAACTCCTGAAAACAATGCGAAACAGATTTCTTAAAAGGCACATTCCAGGAATTGCAGCGACATTTTTTGTTGTTCTGGGAGTTGGCTGAGTGAGACTATTATCTTTTTTCAGATGCTGAAACCGATGTAGAATGCACGGGTGTTCATCTATGTCACCTGCCGCCGATTCTTCTGCGCGAAATATTTTCCCACATGGACTTGCATTCACAAATGCGAGCGAAACGGTAAATACAGAGCGCAGATAAGTACACTTCTCAGAATTCTGTCTGCAGTTCACGATGTAGCTTTAACAACCGAGTTGTCGATGCACGTGCAGCAAAAATCAATTGTAAAAGTACAAATTATAGCACGACAAAAAGTTTATGACTAGTATTGACTACCTTAGTCTACCTATGCTGGTGTTCTTATGGTGAGTTTTGCTTTGATAGGGTGTGCGCTTTGTGGCAGCAGCTGCTGAGCGGTCTTTGCCTGACCCAACACATCAGCATCTCACTGGAAAGCTGTACCGCAGTTCATTCTGACAATAACAACTGCTTCCGCGCGGCATCTCTTTTGAGCCGCACCATCAACTCCACAACCAATAGTCTGACCGTGTTGGGAGATTTCCTTCCACATAACTTATCCTTTCTGGCCAGCGTTTTGGGAGTCATGAAGATTAAATTGCCCTTAATTGTTTTCAAAGACCATCTTATTACGAACTTCGGATATTTGGGTCATTTAAACCCAATTTGTTTGAAGCACCCTATAACTAACGTTACGACATTATATAGAAACAAGTGCGGATCAATCCTCCTGCACAACTGGAAAGCCGATCATCTCTTTACTGAACTAATGCGCTACGTCTTTAAACAAGCTGTATACGGTCCGGGATCAAGATGTGCCATGCCATTACAGGAGCAGGCATTCATGCGGGATCTCACAAATAGATCGCTTGAATGGCCCATCGAGCAACTGCGAATCTCCATTCCGCGGCTGCTGCTGAGCTGCGGCGATGATCACATGGACATGGCCGGCCGCGTCATGCGCGCCCTGAGCGACAACACCCCTTCGGTCACGGCGGACATGCTAGGAAAGGTCACCGCTGTTTACGCCCGCTGGGTGCGCACTCTCGGCTATCCAAATGATTGGCAGGCCATTCGCAGCTACCTGTTACTGTGAGTTTGCTTAAGATGTTTAGTAGTGACTAGTACATTATTAAAACTGAACACACGACCTACTCGTAACCCGTGTGGTCGTTTCGTTCTGCCACAAGTGCGTTCAGCTGTCGCTAGCAGAAAAGACCCGTGTTCCGTACAACAACTAAATGCAGTGCTAGTACCTACGGAATTAAACCATAATTATTATCGAATGTGTGGCTTCCACCGTACTAAAAGCACCTCCGTCATGGTCTGTGTATTACTAGTCCGTATTGTTCTTCGAAATCCATAATCCAAGCGTGACTAGGTTGATACGCGGTGTAGTGGGAGGATTTCTTACGTAAATACACACTCTGCGCTACGTAAACTTTACGCAGCCGAGCGCAGACGCAAATCTCCGTATGACGTAAAATTGTTTTGAAAATTTCACGCCGGGCATCGAACTTTTCCCATGGCGGATTTACTGTGTGTGTATTATAACATGCGTCTTATCAGTAAATTATCACTCCACGTACAGGTAATGACGTAACTGAACCCCAAACTCTGATATACAGAGGGGTTGAGCGTGCAAGCATGAAGAAGAAAGGGGACAGAATACGAACGGATGTGTTCAAGAACCACTGATATACCTGTTGCGCGCTTACTCTGTTTTGATAGCTGTGGTGTAAAACAAATGATTTTTTCGTAAGTACTTGGAACGTTAGTAGCTGAAAGTAAACATGGATTAATGCGATGAAATTACGCTTTCGGTGTGTTCCAAGTTACATTGCTAATTGCTATAGATAATCACTGACACAGGGCCTCGGGTCCGCAGAGACAGTGCTGTTTTGTTGTCGATAGGAGTGTTTCATGTTTGTAAATACGATCATTGACGATCAACAATGAATACTGTACTGAACTGATGAATACTCCTTATTAATTATTCAGGTTAACCATTTACACAATCACTGTTACCGCTCAATGCAAATTCTAAACAGAAACAAAGATCAGAATGTTGGGAATCAAAGATAACAAATACCGGATCGGAAAGACCGGGGAGTACGACGCAATCAAATCGATCATGAGGCGCTGCGTCATTGCAGCAGAGTGTGCACTCTGCCAGTAAAGCAGTGTGTATTAAAAACCCGTACCACCGCTTAAATTTTGGTTACGCTGGGATATTAGTGACTTCCATGTACAATACGGACTAGTAATATACAGATTACAGACCATGCCTCCGTTGTGCTCGCCGCCATCCTGAGGCACCCCCCGAAATCACAATCTATGTAATATCTTGTACCCGTGGACTGTTTCCCCGAATTTTTCAAACCGTATTTCAAAATTGATACTCACCTATGGTCTCTCAAAATCGGTGCAAAACCATTGAAAGAAGCTGCATGCTAAAATTCTTGAATACCTCATTTCGCACCACATGGACGACAGGGTTTTTTTTCCCAGAAATTCCTAAAGTATAGCGACAGATCCCAGTTCTACAGAGCATGCGCAGATACACATATGGTAATGAGTTGTTGTAATTTGCTGAACAGGAAAAAGATATTAAACTGCTCATAAAATCACCGGTCTGGATACGAACGAATAAGCGCATGTTTGCGCATTGCACAGAATCTGCTTTTTGTAGTACTGTTATGAACTACCACATTAAAGAGGATATTTTTTTGCAGTTTCCCTTTTATTTGCTTTGTATAAGTAAGAAGATTAAAAATCCATGACATCGTTCCCGTTTAGGTAATTTAAAGGCAAAACACACATCTTCCTTCTCAACCGTGTCGCTAAATGTACCGAGAACAGAAACCGCATTTACTCGCTGGATTTCAATGCCGATTCTCTGGCGAAAAAACTCTGAAGAGCGAAAGTTGCTTGTGCAACCGCTAGTCTTTCTCTACACTAAAGTATTGTAGTAGTATTAAAATAGACTTTGTATTGTGGACCTTGTGGTGTAACTGTATTTCAGGTTCAGCCCCTTCACGTCCGACGGCCGACCAAAATCGTGGGCCACAGACGACCTGCGGCTGGTGGATGTCCGTAACCTGAGCAGACTTGCCATCTACGGAATCGATGCACTATTCCTGTTGTAATCAGTACTGCGGACAGCTGCGTATAGCGTTTGCTGACGTTTTGATCGTAGTCAGCCATATATCCGCGTTGGTTTCTCTGAAATCTGGTGATCCCACTTTCTTCTATGTAGTATGAAATTTAATGTGCAAATTATAGGACTTGTAGTGCAACGAATAACATACTGTCAGAAGACACAGAAGCAGAAGAAGAAAATGGGGGCAAATTCAGCCTTTATTGGAACAATAAAGCAACCACAAAACCAATAGAAAACCGATACGGGATCACTGTGGAAAAAGTAGTGATCATGAACGGCGTGCTGCAGCTGCGTAACAGCTGATGCCGTAAAGCATGGAATAGCTCGTAAGCGCTGGGGTACGCCCCCACGAGTGCAGCAGTGCGCTGATTGGTCAGCGTAGACAAAGTGTACGCTGCCTGTCGGCGTATAATAGCGGCACGAGTTGCGTGGCCACCTGCGTGCGGGCGACAGAGCAAGACACAAGAGGTGTTTACCGCCTCGAGCGGTCTCTGACATGTCTCTGGGCGGGAGTGGGAGCTCATTCGAGCACCTTCCCGACTCTGCCCCTGACCAACCCGGTAGGGCCGGATGCCACTTTGTCTCTCAACCCGATAGGGCCGCTGACTCCAGACCCGCGGTGCAGTGCACCGAACGGCCGAACTCTGGAGTGCACTCGGTGTTCTGGGGGTTCCAGTGTGGTTTGGAAAGGCTTCTTCGGTCGATGAAGTACAAAAATAAAGTTTATAAGGCTCATTAGGTAAACCTAAGAAAAGATCATAGCTAGAGATCCAAAGCCAATTCCTTTTGTTAATAAGGTCTAAAAAGGCAGTTATGGTTAAAAACCTAGACGCAAAATGGCTAACTCCAACTAGGTTTACCACAGGGCAGGTTCGGTCCACACGGGTCCTAGTCAACGGTCCGCTTTATCCGATAGGATTGGTCAGGTCTTGGGAATCCGTGGTGACGGTTCAAAGAGATGTCCACGGTATTTAGTGATGTAAATTCAGCGGTGCTGAATATGGAAGGCACTGTTGCTTTCGGAAGGACTGTTTGTCCCCTTCCTGGTTCAAGATATGGTGGACCGAACCTGTTTCTCTGGAAAGGAGTGGTGCTCCTGTTACCAAAATAATTTAATGGACCGATCCCGTTTGGGTGGTCTACTTGGGTCTCTAACTTTGACCGGTTTGGTCCTGCATGCCGGTTTGGTTATGGGCCTCGGTTTGGTGATGCGCCCCGGTCTGGTCATGCCTCCCGGTTTGGTCCTGCATGCCGGTTTGGTCATGAATTTCTGGAGTATAATGGTGCGCCTAAGTTCGGATGACCAAAAAAATTTAGTGGGCCAGTCCCACTACGGTCCATATTTGGTCTCTGACATGCCTTAGGCGTGACGTGGCTTCTGTTTGGCGGGCCAAAATGGCCGGCAAGCCAAAATGGACGACGGGACACAAACCGTTTGGTGGGCCAATGTTATAACGCACGTAGGGCTTATATTAAGGCGCGCCAATGTAAATTTTATTCGTGGCGGGCCAACGTTAAAGACTCGTTGAGTCCGGTCTATCTCAAGGGCCGTAGACCCCAAGTTAGCTGCCTTCATTTGCCACTGAGACCTAGGCTATAACAAAAATTAGTAGCTCTGATGAAAACATCCAAAAAATTAGGTTGTGGGCGCCGGTGGGCGTTTACCACAAAGGAGCTGGTCTGCTGAATAGAGATTCTTTGCTTTGCCCCTGGGCGGTTGGTGGTGAGGCCTCTGGCGGTGGATGCAAGGTGTGTCGGGTCCGCAAGTGTTTCTAACTTAGCCTCTAGGCGTTTCGGTCCTTCTGCCGATGTCCGCCGGGGCAATGCGATGTGCCCGTCCAAGGGTGTACCACAACGTCTATGTGGCTCCCATTAACTCACTGATTGCAGTTACCTGGTACGGCAACTCGACTCGTGAGCCGCTTATGGTCCGTTGGACACATAGCAGACCTGGTCCAACTTCTATGGGCCAGGACTTGTCCACGGCTTGCCGCAGTTTCAATACAGGCCGTCGCCGTCGTCTGGGCGCTGACTCTCCATGCCGGTGAACTGGGCCTTGCGCCAAGTTCGGTCCGGTGGACTCCGTCGGACGGTCTGGGATGGCCAAGCCAAATTCATGGTCCCAGCCGCTAAACCAGAGCCGATTTGGGGAATCCGGTGAAGATTCAGGGAATCCAGTGAGGTAGACGATACACGGCCGTATGCCACGTTTGTTGGGCGAGGGTAACAACTGATGGATTGTACCCATTATGGTGTTCAAACCGGTTCAGCGTTATGGTCCCACTTTTAGGTGACCAAGGCTACTTCTAGGCCAAATGTCGGCCCACTTCTAGGTCGACATGCAGGATTGGCCGTTGGCCGATTCCTGCCCTCCTCGTCCGGTTTGGTCGTCGCCATCGTCCCGCTCCTGTGTTGCAATGGGTTGATGACGCTCTGTTCCATGTCCGCCAGATCTTGTTCAGTTTGGTTTTCCTGCTGGCTGGAGGTGCTGGTCGGCTGGACTTCTTGGCCAGGGTGCTCGGCCGGAGCCTGGTCACGCGAAGACGACCCTGCTGAGGATCGCTAGGTACGTAACTTCGTTGGAAGTTTCCGCGCCGCCGTCCGATTAACGAACGCTTCCGCTCCATCCTGGAAATCCGTTGGCTGTCGATAGCGGTAGTCTTTAACGCGGTTCCTGTAGACGTTCAGGGCGCTTTGGACTTTGGCTCCCGCCTCGATTTCATGGATCTGGTTCCCAGGCAAGGCCACATGGGTTAGATATGCGGGAATGATCTTCCCTTGCCGGTTGGCAATTTTCCGTTCCCAGTGACACCGCAGGTGTCCCGATTTGGCGGCCAAGATGCGTAGCACCGTGCCGTTGAACGTATAAGCGTACGTTCCAATCGGGGCCGCTTGATAATTTTCAGGTTTGCACGGGAATCCCATAGCGGCCCTTGTGGCCGTGACCAGAAAGCCGGCGTTCGCGTCCGGTAGACGAACTGGGCCAGATACTTGATGTGATCAGGCTGGTTATCCTGAATGTGCAACTGGCACAAGTCATTCCAGTCCGGTCAGGGTGATTGGCTGTCCGAGCAAGTTCACGTCCGTAGCGCTCGATAGAGCGTTATCACGGACTGTCGGGTAGCCATCGCGATTCTCAATGCGGTCCCGCATACTGAAAGTATGGGGCCAGTCCTTCTGCTGGAACTCCAGTTCGAGTCCGGACCAAATGACAAAGCTCTGCAGGTCCTGGATGATGGCGTCAACCTAGGCCATCGATCCGTTGGATATGGGATGGCGCCCATAACGTAATCCGTCACTCTCCGATGGGGGAGTGGCCGGGTGTTGACGCCTTGGTTCTGGCCTTCTGGGCATATTCATATGGATCGAAGTTGGTCGCACTGGTGCTTGTGTCACGTCGGGCCGGTGAGTCCGATAACGGCGGTGCGGCCTCAGCGTCTATAGGTATGTGGACACTGATGTTATGGGCCACAGACCTGACACTTCGTTCTGGTCGTTTGTCGGACCGAGCGACAACCAGGCCTGGATTCTTCCTCCTTCCGCTTTTCGGGTGAGGTCCGCACTTGGTGCGGTTGCTCCTGAGGATGGCCGCGATTCTGGCGACCGGTCTGGTCCTGGTGATCGATGTCATAACGTAAGTCATCTGGCTGCCACGGTAGCGGTGCCGCTGGCGCATGCCGTTCGGTACGCACTGGCTCATACTGGCCCCTTAGGGCGTCCAACAGTCCACCTTCCATAAGCTGCTTGGCAGCTTAGTCGACCATGATCTTGTTGATATTTCCAATGATCTGTTCATGGGTCATTGGTGTAGACGCCTCAAACCCGTAGGGCTGAGAACGCGACGGTTGCTGCTGCTGGTGCGACTGCTGTCCATGAGTTTTCGGGACGACCGTTGGACCGCGCCCTGACTGATCAACGCCCGTGTTACGGGTCGATTTCCATTGTCCCGGTCACGCTGAATTTTCTGCTCGCGTGCAGCCTGGCTGAGAGGAGACAACTGGATTCCAGTGTCGCTCCATCCCCGCATTATAACTCCGGAACGCGCCATGTATAGATTGAAGATTTCGATCTGTTTGCTGTTTCCTCACTAGGGGAAACAGGTGGCGTCCGTCGCGACTAGTCATTTGTGCATAGGCGTCGAAGTTGTCTCTGACCACTTCTAGGTAGAAGCCGTACGCCCTCTCATTTTTATCACGGAAGCCAGGCCGCAGGTGGTATGCGCATGGGAACACCTCCCGTGGAGAGTTGTCCTGTCGGTTCGATTGGTCCATGATATTGTTATTGCAGTCTCGGCATCCTGGGTCATACTTCTGCTGTGGTGTAAGTCCCATTCTCTGTGGTAACAGAAATAAGACATGCAGAACTGAGGTGAAGTCCACTTCTAGGACATGTCCCTATAATATTCACGCCCTATGAATTTTACGTCCCTACAAATTTTTACATGTAACATGATATTTGTTAACCAAGCTTTACTTGCCTGGTGAATTATATCTGGATCACCCCCTAGACCCTATGCAACTTCTATGCCTAGGTCACTGATGGTAAGGCCGCCGCTTCTGCTGCTTTTTGGTGGAAGCCAGGGTGGCTGGATCGGTGGGACCAGGGCCGTATCGGTCTGGTGGAGTGCTCAGCTGTCTGTATCGTCGCTGGGCCTCAGGCTCGTCGACTGTTTGCTTGAGCCAACCTTCGCGCAACATCTTTCGGACGACATAACTGACGTGTTTGCCGATATAATACAACTCGTTTGGGCGAGCATGACCAGAAACGTATTCCAGTCCATCGATCAGCTGGGGGTGGTGCGCCAAGGCATATAGGTTGTACCGTCCAAGGAGTTGATTGGCCATCTCGCCTCGTGTCAGGCCCAAAGGGTGCTGCGTGGTGGTGAGCACGGCCAGGATGGCGTTCCGCCATTCCCAATAGCCTTGAGGGGCCTTGTCACGTTTTTCCGGTGGGTACGTGTAGAAGATGTTGCCGTTGGGCAAATGGGTCCTTAGGATGACTCACTAATTGTAGGCCATCATGATGTATTTCATCACCTTGGACT